TCCAACTTCTCTTGGAGATGCATTCCAGATCCCTTTGTCAGGCGCACTCTTCTGTGCGTTTCCCCCCTTCCCTCTCCTGAGCAAAGTTATAAGGAAAATGCTAGCTGATCGGACAGATGGTATCCTTGTGTCTCTGTTCTGGCTTCGCCAGATCTGGTTCTTGGAGCTGCTACAACTAGTGGGAGGAGACTACATACTGTTCCCCCTTACCTCAGATCTGCTGATGCACAGTCCCTTACTGCATCACGGTTTAACAAGGCTGCACTTGACGGCATGGAGGATCCAGCTTTAGGGTACTTCTTTTCCCAAGGAGTTCTAGATATCCTACATCAAGCCCATAAACCATCAACCAGGTACTCTTATGGTAGGAAATGGACTCGTTTTGAGTCCTGGGCTTCTGCTTGAGGGGAATGCCATTTAACCTGCCTGTTGTCTTTGGTTTTGGAGTATCTGTTGTCATTAGTACAGACGGGTTTAGCAGTGCCCTTCATGAAAACTCCTCTGGTGGCTATTGCTACATTTCATGAGGAAGAACAGGGCACTATGGCTTTTGCTCACAAATTGGCTCAGCCCTTTTTAAAGGGGCTGTCAAATGTTTTCCCTCTACACCCTGGATTATTCCGCAGGTCATTACCCTTAGTCTTCTGTGCAGACACATATTTCCTCCCTCCTGCCCCGCTGGGACCTCTCACAGGGCCTATTGTGCCATAGAAAGGGGCTCGCGGCAGCTTAGTGGGAATTGAGGAATGGGGCACCTGTCACTGAAGCGCATGATGCTCTGGGCAGGAATCTTGCACATGTGCCAGCTCCAAAAGGGTCAGAGTGCCCCCATTTTAGAGTTTAAAAGCTAGAAAAAAATGTATGTGGCAGACCTGCACAAGTGCAGTCCCAATGTGTGTCTGCACAGAAGACATCTATGAACAACAGTTACAGGTAAGTGCAACTCTATTTTTCTTTAAACCAGCGGGTCGAAAGCCAAGTAACACCTAGTGCAAGTAGACGAATGGGTACCTGCCCTTAGAAGGGTAGGGGGCACCCACCTCTGATGGAAGAGGCATGATGGATGTGCGGATGGCGTGGCGGTGCAGAGGACGACGGATGGCGGCGTGGCGGCAGCGGCAGAGAGTGCTGGTGGAGCTGAGGGCGGTGCGGAGCAGAGCGATCCCTGGTGGCCGAAGGAAACACCTAGTGACATCAGGCGGCGACAGCAGTACCCTGGAGGCGCACGACGAATGACGCAGGCAAGGCAGTGCCTGACGGATGAAGCCGGCCAGGAGTGTGCAGGAAGCCGTGCGCCGGTGCGGAGCTGCCGTGGTGGCCGGAGAGAGGAAGATCGGGAGCCTGGAAGGGACGCCGCGCCAGCAGCCGAGGATCAATCTAGACGCCGAGCCTGCCAATGGAAGTAAGAAGGAAGCACATACACAATCAAGGGTGCCGGTAGGAAGCCCCACCCCCAACTCTAGATGTGGCCCTAGATAGGAAACGCAGTTCTTAGAACGACTAAATGTGAACCGCCCAGAGACCCCTTCGGGGGTTAGGGCGGTATATCAAATCTAAGGTTAAATAAAAATAATTTTTTTTTAAGGTACCTAGACTTCTGTTTTGCTTCAATAGACGAGCACAGCCACCCCTCTGGAATTACAGCTGGCAAAAATAGAAAGAAGAGTTGCAGATTGGAATGAGGAATCTTAATAGTAAAACTACTGCAACGCTCTCTACATGGGACTACCTTTGTCGTAAATCCGGAAGCTACACCTGGTGCAGAATGCTGCTGCCAGGTTGTTGGTGGGCGCCCCGGGCTGGGAGCACACCCGACCTGTGCTGAAAACGCTGCACTGGCTGCCTATAGCATACCGGATTCACTTCAAAGTGCTGGTGCTAACCTTTAAAGCCCTGCATGGCCAGGGTCCGGCTTACCTGAGGGACCGCATTTCCCCATATATTCCCCAAAGAGCACTTCGGTTGGGGTCACAACACTGGCTGGTGACCCCGGGCCCTAAGGAGGCCAAGCTTGTGGCAACAAGGGCCAGGTCTTTCTCAGTGCCGGCTCCTACCTGGTGGAATGAGCTCCCGGAGGAGTTCAGGGCCCTGCGGGACCTTGTGCAGTTCTGCAGGGCCTGCAAGACGGAGCTCTTCTGCCAGGCTTATGAGTAGGAGCCGCCACTGCCACTACCACCACCGCTCCTTTATAGAGAGAGACCATTCTATAGTGAGAGACCACTGGGGGGGGGGTAACATCTTTCCATCACCCCAACCTTCCCCCCTGCTACGCAAGCTGTTAGGAGTCTTTATGTGCATCCATAGAACTGATTTTAACTTGTTTTAATTTGTATTTTGTATTATGAAATTTTGTATATTGAACGCACTTGGTGCCCTATGTAAGCTGCCCTGAGCCCATTCGCGGGGAGGGCGGGGTATAAATGTAATAAAATAAATAATAAAATAATTGTGGGAATTTCAAGTCAAGTGCTCATTAGTTTATAATTGAGCATATATGGAAATATGCAATAGCATTATGCACATTATTTCCCTCTACATCTTGGAAGTGGGAACACTTAGGAGAATAAGTATCTTCATATAAAATTCCTCTTTAAATACCTGAACCAAATATTTGGTCAAGGAATGGGTGTTGTTTTTGCCTTTCTAAAAATATTTTAATGGGTAGCTTTATTTTTAACTAAGATAAATAATTGGTATTCACTATATCTTCATTAGACAAGGTATTTCCTCTAATGGTGAGTTCTCACTTAGACAAATGACAGTATAATCTAATTTGTTATCTCAAGCTAGTGTAATACATGTGGATCTAATTAAATAAAGGACCAATTATTGTCTTCCTTAACACGACTAGAAACTTTGTGGAAGCTGAAGGGGTTGTCACAGCGAACTTCAAATGCACATTGTTGATTGAATAAATGTATAAGTCCTTCATCTAAAGTCTGTCTTCTGGATTCGAAACTGTGGTGGAAAACAATAGAATTAAGGTGAACCTATGAAGTTTGTAGGTTGTATTAGATTTTTATTTATGGCAGTTTTCCCAAAATAAAAACAGATTGCATATGCATTGGAGAGGTGGACAAACATTGCCTCTCATATTAACTCCAGTTTAAAGGCATATTAAAACTTTTTTCTGGTTCTTGAATTCTGTGAGGCAGAATGCCCTATTGAGCATAATAAAAGCAAAGAATTATTTGTCAGTATCCATCTTGTTTCATTTCATTAGATATTTAAATAACCACTTAAATGAAAAATGTAAATACAGTAGCATAATCATTTATAAGACTGAAGTGTTGAACATCTACAAAATCTGCATGAACAAGACATTTCTTAAGGAAATTGTTCAGGCTCACACTTTACAAATGTCAAAAAGAAGTCAGTTCTTGAGTTGGGGGGACTTAAAATGACTCTTTGCATGTCCTTGTGGGACCAGCAAGTTGTATAGATAATATAATCAAGAGGGCCTTGCATTGCTTTTTAAAATCCTTTAAAAATTTTTTTATCAGTCAGTGTCCATTGTCAACAATGAGATTTGTCCAGAAATATGAAAAAAAAACTTTTTCAGGCTTTCCTGATAAGCTTTGAAAACTCCTAAACATTAAGGCAGACATATCATTGAGAAATGTTTCCATTATTAGAGGAGTACTGAACAGGGTGTTTTGCAGATGAGCTTTGTTGTATTTATTGTTGTTCTGGTTTTGTTGTATTCTTTGCCTGTTGGCATTTGTTCACCACCTTGAATTCCCGGAGGAAGGTGGGGTATAAATGTTTTAATGAAGAAAACTAATGGTAAGACTTTAGAAAAGAATTCATTTTCAATATTGTCTTTTCATTGGGTTATTGCATCTTTTCAATACAACTGACCACCTTTCTGGCCCATTCCTGAAGCAGTTAGTCTTTGGGTGCATGAAAGGATAACCACTTTTACTCAATGTCAAATGGTCTTTTTACTTGCTAAAAGCTGGCATGTTTTTTACCACTCTTAAGGTGAGGAATTGCTTACAATCTATACTCTGCTGCTGTTTCCATGTACCATGGCACTTTCAGAAATCAAAACCATCGTACAGATAAGCATATAGAAACTGCAGTCAGAAAAGGATGAAGATGTGTAAGGTTAAAGATGACTCAGTAATGGAAGTAATATGAAGCTGATTATTTATATAGTTGTAATACAGCATTCTTCAGCAAAACTCTTTTTATGCTCCTTTAAATAAAATTATAAGCCTTATCAAAAAAGCTATTTTTTCCTTTATCATCTATGACCATTTTCAATTTGGTGAATAAATGACATTTATGAATAAAATTTGAAAAATGGGGAAGAAATTATGTCCTTAGATAAAAGCACACTTGTTATTTCTTGAGATCTACCGGTAAGCTTCAGAACTTATTTTCTCTAGCATCCTAAATGTAATTGTCACCAATTATCACGCTAACTAATTGGAAGACATGTGTGCATGTGCATGTAAAGTCATAAATGTCGGAGTCTATTGAGATGACATTGCATAAATCTGTACCCAAAACACTGTCCAATGCTAGAAAGGTGATTTTTAAAAAAATATTGCAAAAGAAATAGTCTACATGCATTCACTTTATATAAACTATCTGTATATTTGCTAGTGTTTACTATTGAAGCTATTTGTTATTTTTTGAGCATTTCTAAGCTTTTATTTTCAGGATCAGTTAATAGTCTCATTTGTTAAATATAGCTGAAGGTTGTGACAGTAGCTGCTGTCTCAGTGTTTTGAAAATTCATTCAGAAGAGTTAAAATGTATCCTTAGACTCTCCAGCCACCTTAGGAGAGAAGGAGTTAACAGGTTAGTCCCCTTGGTCATTCTCCACATGCTTCCTTGCGTTTAGGAGCAAAAAAGAAAGCGATGATAACATTGTGCCTGGACTTGTCTCTGCAGAGTTTAGGGTACTCCTGGGGTTTTTGCAGTTAAATGTAAAGCAAGCTAGAACATGCTTGCCCCTGATTTTCTTGTTTTTCTTTCAACCCTTTCAGTGCCCTGCAGGAATCATTAAATCAAAACTTCATGCTGATCGTCACCCATCGAGAAGTCCAGCGGGAGTACAACCTCAACTTCTCAGGAAGCAGTACCATTCAGGAGGTGAGTTCTGTCTCACAGCTGAAGAATAAATGTAGCTCATTATAACTAATGTTGGCTTTGTTAAAGAGGGCTTATGTATTCAGACTGCAAACTTCCTTTTGTCTTTCGTTATTCAGTTTTTAGATTTTAATTAACTGGATGATGAAAGATTACTGTAGGTACATCAGATTATGTGACCTACATTTAAAATCTGCATTAATTTTGCCCAAGAGGAGTACTGTTTTTGGTAGTATGTTGCATTTTAGTAGCCAAATGCGATGAGCTAGTGTCATATAGTTAGGTTTCCATTCTTTCTCGATCCTCTGCCACTTTGGGGGGAGGGTACATTTTGACTTGCTATTGAGTATATTCTTGGGTTAAAAAAACTGCTATTATATTGCCTTGACTATGGATAGAATGGCAGAGAAGCTGTTTCTCTACACAAATGATATCACTGTTGTTCTATAGAACAGCCAGCAAGGGGTGATGTTGCAAAGATAAGTTCCTTGCCGATCCATCACTGAGTGACAGATGTACTTCCTAAAATAATCATAGCCTTCTGGCTTGAAGTTGAAATTCTTGTGTGTTCCATAACCTGTTCCCTCCATAAAGTAGTTGTCTGTTCCCCCCCCAAAAGTTATTTTCCTTTCCCCCCCCCCCCATAAAACAATCAGCTCCTCTGCTTTTTCTGTTTAGTTAATCACAGTCCATACACATACTCCCAGTCTAAAAAAAAAAAAGATATTTTCTTTAACAATCATCATTAAAAACAGTGGTCATGATCCAGAGAGTCCCATGCATATGTACCAAGTAAGCTGCATGTGGACATTTCTTTCCAGCAGTAGTTCCTCACCCCTTATGCGGTGCTGTTCTGACACCCCACCCACAAAGGTTGCTGTTATGGGAAGAAGATTAACAAGTCCCTGTGCATACATGGAATACCCTCTGTGGTGCTTTGAATCTGTTCGTATTTTACAGTTTTCTGTTTTGTAGTTAAACATGTTTATATTGATTCTTTAAAAAAGAGCTAAAATGAAACAAACACCAAAAATTAAATGTGACGCTTACAGACATAACATGTAAAATACTGTAGTAACCAGGAGAAAACAGGTTTAGTGCCAGCCCTTTGAGGCTGCCATGGTTTTTCCCATAAGGAAACAGCACCTCTATTTGTTTGATTTGCATCTTTTTTGGTTATGTCCAGTGAAATACGTTACACTCTGAATTCCTTTCAACACCTGTACCTACTAGATGCTCATCTCCTATTTCTACACGTATGTTTTAGATTTTTCTAAGCTCAAACAATTTAAATTTTAACAATATAGGTTTGTGGATTTATGACCGTTTCAAAAACAGTTGTGTAGCATTAAAATGATTTTAACTACTTTTCCTAGTTATCAAGCGAAAAATAAATAATCCAGGTGCTTTTTGTTAGACTTGAAGATCCCCGTATTTCTTTATAAAGAAATTAGATTTATAATCCCAGTAAAGAACCTATCTCAAAGATATTAGTCATTAGAACCGATATGCTGTTCTGTAAAACTTTCTGGCATTGCCAAATGAAAATGGAATTTGTCACCACTACCAATGTTTGAAAAATAGGGAAAGCATAAAACTCTGAGCTGAAATCCTGATAAGCATATGAGACTGAGGTTCTAGACTTGAAGTTAATGGACTGTTGTACAGAATACTATGAATAAGGAACATTCTTATAAGTACATCGTTTGTTCAAAGGAATGCAATTGGACTTTGGGATTTATTGGCTGCAATCCAGAAAATAGCACCACAGTTCTTAGAGTGAATCTTCCCCCCTTTCAAATGAAGTTCCCAATGTTGTAATTTATTTATTTATTATGCAAGCTGTTTCTAATAGTGGGGGATTACAAAAGCAGTTAGTGTTTTCCCCCAGCAAAAAGGGAAACAGAATAAAATTCTGTATAAAAAGGTAAAGGTTCCCTTGCTCGAAAGCCAGTCGAATCCGACTCTAGGGTTGTGGTGCTCATCTCCGTTTCCAAGCCGAAGAGCCAGCGCTGTCTGAAGACGTTTCCGTGGTCAGACGGTGATAACTACGAACAAAATTCATTATACAAAGATCAATATGATACATTGCAACTCTTTCCATTGTAAAGGTATTTCTTCAACACCTTGATTGTTCTGTAAGGCTGGAAATCGCAGCAAAACAGAAATCTTTCACTTCTTCAAAAGAAACCTTTCTGTTGGGAGTTTTCTTTTGTTTCCAGAGTTTGGCAAAAGTTAATGTAACTGCTGTTACTACATACAATATACATTTGATAATTTTTGGTGTAGATACTATATAGTTCACCCAATTTAATTGTGGTGTACTAATGGGAATCTATTAATGTAGTATTATTTTCTGTTTTTTCTTTGATATCATTGACATTATTTTTTTTAAAGAGCAGTTTGTGCTCTAGATGCTTTACAAGAAAATTAAATATCTGATTGGCATGTGCAAGCCTTTAGGAACTGGGCAGATCTACGCAAAGGAATTGTCTAAACAGAGCCCTGTTATTTTGTATTACAGCTCAAAAATGTACTTTAAAGTAAATCACCATATATGGAATCATTATCATATATGAAATATTTTTATCTGACATCTGGCATTGTTTTTTTAAAAACAAATTAATTTATATACTTTAGGGCTAATTGAACTTCATGTGCAAATTGCAACTATCAACCACCAGAGGGCAGGAAGGACTATTCAATTATTCTCTAAAAAATGCCATCCTGTGTTTTCAAATTAGCTTCTGGTATATTAACAAAAAGGAGTATAATGGCTGAGTTATTGTTTGATTTACCGATAATTGGCATATTGCGTGAAAGAGACTTAATTTCACCCTTTAAAATTAAACAGGGAGATTTAAAAAGACATAAAATATTCATTAATGTTCAGTGATTATAAAGCAGTGGCATATATTTGCTTTACCTTTATTACTGTTTCGATGGGAAAATACTGCAAATATTTCAGAAATCGAGTTGGCCATACTGACAAGTTGAAATGTTTAAGCAGTGTTAATGCAATCTACTCACACCTGATATCATATGCAGAAAGATTCAAAATGTCTACATCAATTATTAAAGGAATACTTAAAATTCTAGAAATGTTTCGTGCCTCAACATGACAATCAGGTGCAACTGTCTCTCCGGATCCAGTTGCTTGGATTATTCAAATGTATTTTATGCTGCAACGACTTTGAGCAATAAATATTTCTCCTGCGTTTTCCAAATAAAATGGTGTCATGATTATTTTTGCAATGAGTTGGTGAAAAATCTGTTAGGTAAACTGACACATATTAGCATATTCTCGTAGTTTCAAACTCTGATTACCTTTCAGAATGTACATTGAAAAACTACTGAAACAGAGAGTGAATTTTAATAGTCTAGATAAGAATAAAAGGGGACGTGCCAAATGTAGGTTACTTTGTATGAATTTCTCTTGCTTCTGTTTTGGTGTAATATTGAAGAACCTTGCAGGAATACTGGAGGAATACTTGCAGGAATACTGGAAAACTGCATGCCCTGAGTCAGGCTTGCGGATCAGCCTAGCTTAAGGTCTAGTTGTTAATGGAAAGTCCAGTGACTGTGGACCCCTCGATTTGAATATACCTGACTGAAACTACACAGTGTATTTCTGCCCTTTCTTTTTGATTCCTCTGAATTTCAGAATGACAACATTTGAGGTATTTTCCAGATATCTGTACCTCACCTCATTTTGATATAGTAGCATTTAGGTAGTAATTTATAATGTTAAATTGAAATACTGACCATTACAATATCTCTAGACTTTAAAGACTTTTCTAAAGCTGTGTATGAATGGAAAGTAGAAGCAGGAAGAGATATTATTTTGGAAACTTAATTATTTCATGTTGGTGTCTATTACAATTGAAGTATGTGGGTAACTTGCAAGGACTTGCACGTGGCACCTCACTTTCCCCTGTATCTTCCTTCCCACAATATTTCCTTCCTGCATTATTTCCTCTTTTCCTTCTCCTGGTAGCTCCCATATCCTGCTTCCTTTTCTCCTTCCTACCCACTCAGCAACTTTTATCTGTCCCTCATCCACAGCTATATTAGTTACTTACTTCATTTATACCCTGTCTTTCTTTACAATGGAAGCTCAAAGCAACTTACATCATTCTCCTGTCCTCCATTTTATCTTCACATCAACCTGTGAGGCAGGTTAGGCTGAGAGTGTGTGACTGGCCCAAGGTGACCCAGTGAACTTCCTTGGCAGAATGGGTATTTATATCTGGGTCTGACAGATGGTAGTCTGAAACTCTAGCCACTACACTGCACTGGCTTTCATGGGGTGGCTGCTGTTGAACAAAAACAAGCAGCTGGGCCTAGATGAGTCATGCAAGTTGCCCAGTGATTGCTGCCAGGCCTGAGCTTCATGAGTCCTCCCTGGAAGGCCAAAATAGCTCTGGAAAGGCCTGCTCCCTTCCCCTGTCTTTTGCTGACAGAAACCATGGCTTGAATGCTGTCAATACTGTTGTAGTTGCCTAGCAACGGCCACTGAGGGCATTTGATTCTTAAAGCTACAGGTGCTGTTTCTAGTATGTTGGGTTTATTTGTTCATTTATTTTCAGATTTCAGATTTTTCTGCAAAGCTGTGTCTTTATTTTCGATTGGAAGAAAGACCTGTCTGTTCATGGCTCCAGTCTCTGAATTTAAATAACTACAGATCTGGCCACACTGTGAATCAAATATATTGATACATTGGTGCAAATGTCTAGTACTAGAGAGTTGCATTTTGAATAAACCTGAATTAAAATGTGTGGGATTTAGGGTGTGCACAGGGGAAAAAATCTGTTTTAATTTCAGATTTGGGATTGGGGGGGGGTCATTTTTTTTGTTATCCCTTATTTCTGGGTTGGCCATTACTGTTCTGTAATCCTGTTGAGAGGGTATTTTCCCCCTGGCTTCTGAAATTCCTGAAAAATTATTCCCTATGCAGGACCAATCAGAGTGTATGTGGTGGCTGATTTTAAAGGTAATGACAA